TTAGTGACCTTTTGGGGCTTCCTGGGGGCCTCTTGGGGGAGCTTTTCGGGGCCTCTTGGGAACCTCCTGGGGCCTCCTGGGGCCCTGTCGGGATTGTCCTGGTGCCCTCCAGGGCCGGTTTGGAGCCCTCTTGAGCCGGTTTCGGGCCCTAGCGATCTTGAGGACTTCCTGTGCCATCTTGGAGCGTCGGGAAGAGAATTCAAACATCCCCCACAAACCAACGGAAACTCCATGAATTTTGCCTCGTGGGCCTCTTGGGACGTTTTGGAGCGATCTTGATTCTCTGTGGGGTCCTTGCGGGATCTTTTGGGACTCTTGGGAACCTTTCGGGGCTTCCTGGGTGCCTCTTGGGGGCCTCTTGGGGCTCTTCTGGACCTCTTGGGAGCCTCCTGCGGCCTCCAGGGGTCCTTTCGGGAATGTCTCGGGGCCCTCTTGGGCCGGTTTGGGGCCCCCTTGGAGGTCTGTCGGGCCATCTTAGGGCGATCTTGGGGGCCTCGTGGGACGTCTCGGAGCGTCGGGAAGCTGAAAAGGGGAGATCTCAAAAATCCATCGCAAACCAACGGAAAATCAATGAATTTTGCCTCTTGGCGTTGCTCTTGGAGGCCTCTTGGGACGTTCAAATTCGTCAGGAACGGAGGGAGGGAGCGTTTTTTCCGGGGTCCCCGGCCTTATACAAATCTAGGAACTAGGAATATATGTGGAGTCAGTTGGGGTGGATCTCCTGGCGGGGGCCATGAGATCTCCCCATGTTTCATGGCGCTTCTTCTCGTGTCAATGCGTCCCTCCCCTGGGCCGCGCACGTGCCGCTGGCCATGATCTGCGCCGCCCCCCCTCGTGGACGCCCCCCCCCCCATGGCCGCCCCCGACACTTGCACGGTGCAACCCATTCTTCACCACCCACCAAACCACCCCAACCCAACCCGAAGGCTCATATTTTCCCTCGATTTCCAGTGGGGGGGGGGGGCGGGAAACATTGAAAAAACACATGTGGAACCCTTACCCCCCCCAACCCGAAATTCGAGTCTTCGGGTTGGGTTGGGGTGGTCTGGTAGGTAGTCAATTCTGTGCAAGGTCTGTGGTCCAATATAGGGTGCCAGGCTCCCGGGGCCACGGCCCCTCACCCGCCCCGTCTCGCCCGGGCACGAGCGTCCTGTCCTCCTCCTCGATCCTCCTCCGTCTCCATCCTCGATCCTCCTCTTCCTCGATCCTCCTCTTCCTCGATCCTCCTCGATCCTCCCTCCGTCCGGTGGGGCGCGAGAGGGTCCCGGGCCTTCCTGACAGGCCCGCCGCGTCTTCGGAGGAGGCTTCAGATTTCGGGGAGCCAGGAAGCCTCAGAAGCGTCTCGGGGAGGCTTCAGAAGCTTTCGGGGAGGCTTCAGAATCTTTCTGGGGAGGCTTCAGAAGCTTTGGAAGCTTTTCGGGGGGCCTCAGAAGCTTCAGAAGCTTTTCGGGGAGGCTGCAGAAGCTTTTGGGGAAGCTTCTTCCAGAGTCTTGAAATAATCCCATGGGGCCCAAGCCTTGGCTGACCCGGTTTGGCGCTGACCTGGGTGAGTGCGTCCCTGACACCTGGTGGGGCCTTCTGGAAAGGCCGCCCCCTCTGCCTTCCCCGCTGGGCGCGCCTGTGGGCGGGGCTTCGAGCGGCAGGCCTCTGGCGGGTGCCCAACGTGTGTGTCCCGCTCTTGAAGCGATGTGCCAAGGAAGCGCTCGTACTGCGCGTTCGGACATCTGCGCTCAATCCATCGCTGCCTCCTTCCCTCCCTGTCGCCCCCCCCCCCCCCCGCGCCCCGCAGTACATCTGCATCCAGCCCATCCCTCCTCCATTCCCCCCTTGCCCACCCCCCCCGCCCCGCAGGCGGATCCGCCCCAGCGCAGGAAACGGCGACGGCGGCGAGCAGAGGAAGAGGAGCCAGAGCCAGCGCCGCCGGCGCCGGCGCCGGGGCCGAGTGAAGCATCAGCAGGGATGATTCGCGTGTTGCTTTAGGTCGGGCCTGTCCCCCTACCGGGGGATTTTAGGGGGAAAATTCAAAATATTCAAAAATATTTCCAAATGGTCAAACAATGCTCAAAAATCGTCCCCAGCCCATTGTTTATCATTTTTGAATATTCCCCCTGTAGAGGGACAGGCCCGACCTAAGTGTTGCTGGGAGTGTCTCTGGGCCAGGGTGCCCCCCAGGGTTCAGGCGCCCACGGCGTCCAGGGGCTCAATCGCTCAGCGAGAAGCTGGGGGCACCTTTCGGGGGCGGCAAAGAGGGGGTGACGACTAGGGGGGGTGGATATCATTGCGTGGGCCACGATAGGCATTGCCCCAGATTTCATGGCGCCTCTTCTCATTTCACTACGTCTCTGGCCCCCTCCTGGGCCGCGCACACGCCGCCGGCCATAATGTGCACCCCCCCTCTTGGCCGCCCCAGAACCTTGGACCAGGGGCAACACCTGTGAGGGAGATAGGCTCGGGGGAGGTTCCAGTACCTCAAGGGTTTTGCGGCTGTCGGCGGCCCTCGGCGGCTCTTCGGCCTCGGGGCCTCTTCCAGCGGCCGCGCCTCGCCGAGAGCGTGCCTCGGGGGGGGGGGGCGCGGATCGTCCCGAGCGGCCGCCGGTGGGCCCGAGCTGTGGTCCGAAGGCCAGCGGTGGGCTCAAGTCGGGCTGGTCCCTCCACAGACGGAATATAAGAAACTGGTCAAAGGTGGTCTGGGGACGATGTTTCTATCGCTTTCGCTTTTTTTTTTTGTTGAATATTGCTGGACTACTTTTCGGCTTTCGCCCAAAATCCGCCTGTAGGAGGACATGCCCGACCTGAAGGTACCGGATGGAGGAGCAGCGACACCAACACCACCAGAGGGGCCACCTCCAGCCAGGAGGTCCACGGTGTCTTCCAGAGCTGGAGGCTGGGGGGTGTCTCGAGCGAGAGGGGGCGACCACACCACCAGGGAGAACCCCCTTGCCTCCTGGCATCTCCGAGCCCCGGTGGTGTTCGCGTCGCCGTCCCTTGCTCCTAAGGTTAAGTCGGGCCTGCCCCCCCTACAGGGGGATTTTCGATGAAAAATTATTATAAAAAAACGAGAAATAGTCAAAAAATAGTCCAGAAATAGTTTGGGGATCATTTTTGGAGTATTTTTTTTTACCTTTTGGGGGTATTTTTGGGGTACGCTTTATTTGTCGTCAAAAATCCCCCTGTATGGGGGGCACGCCCGACATAATCCTGAGGGTCGGCTGCTGTGTGGGGGGGGGGGGGGGGGGCGCAGCGGCCCCCGAGCCTCCACGGAGCGCCGACGCGGGCCCGAGAGCCCACCCCGCCCAGCAGCGTGCGGTGCCGCAGGCGAAGGCCGGGGCACCGACCCGTCGGCGATGTGCCGCCAGGTCCGGCTCGATGCTCCCCACCGTGGGCGCAGTGCCTCCCCACCCTGCCGCCTGTTTGTTTTCAAGAGAGAGAGAGAGAGGGAGAGGGAGAGAGAGAGAGAGAGAGAGGGAGAGGGAGAGAGGGAGAGGGAGAAGAGAGAGAAGAGAAATATCTATCTACACACACATATATATAAAGATCGAGAGAGAGAGAGAGGAAATACAACAAAAAACAAAGAGAGAGAGAGAGAGAGAGAGATAAAGAGAGAGAGAGAGAGGAAACAAGACAACGATGTCGGACGGGCGCCTCCGCTACCAGAGCCGCGCAAGCTGAAGCTGTGTGGCCAGAGAGAGCGAGGGAGAGTGGGAGAGAGAGCAAAAAAAACTAACAAGTGAAAGAAAGCCAAAAGCCTTCCGTCGGATCCTGAAAAGGCGACCCCCGGATATGTCTTGGGGTGCATTCTGACCAGAATTTTGCATGCAACCCAGCCTTGGCCATGAGGGCGACTCTTAAGGGCCAGAGTCGGCTGGAAACCTCGACCCTCGATCCTCGAATCTTCGATTTTCGATTCTCGATCCTCGAATCCAGACCCCCGACGTCATGTCTTCTTCATCACGTGGACCCCTAGAGGTTTCGACTTATTCCCAGCCTGAGCAAGTTTTTAAGGTCCCAGGGCTCGGCGATGGCCCACAGAGGCTGGAAAATTGACCAGAATTTTGAACCCCTTGAATTGGTCGAGTGGATTTGTGGATGGATCCTAGAATGTTTTATCTTTCTTGTTTTTGTTCATGGATCCTCGAATTTTTGAACTGGTCGAAGAGAGTCCTCGGCAGGCTCGGGGGCGACCAAGAGGGGGGTGATAGCTAGGGGCGGGGTGGCTATCATGGCGGGGGCCGTGATATCTCCCCAGACTGCATGACCATTTTTCTCTAGGCCTCCCAGATGGGGTCCGAATAGATGGGGTCGAAGGATCGTGTGACATCGCCAGTGCATCAGCGAGGCGGCTCGCTGCGGAGCCCGAATTTCTCCGCGCTGGTGTTGCCGATACACAGCCGACGTCGGCGATGCATCGCCGATGCATTGGCGAGGCGGCGCGATCCTCCGACCCATCTGCACGGACCTCATCTAGGAGGACTTCTTAGATATCACCACCCACCAAACCGCCCCAACCCAACTCGAAGGCCTCGGTTTGCCCTCCAGTTCCAGGGGGGGGGGGTCGGGGAGCATCGAGAGAACACGCATGGAGCCCATGCGTCCCCCAACCCGACATTCGGGTCTTCGGGTCGGGTTTGGGTGGTCTGGTAGGTAGCCAAGAGATCTCCCCAGCTCTCGTGCCCTCCATTTCCAGTGTGGGGGGGGGGGTCGGGGAATATCGAAAGAGCACGCACGGAGCCCATGCGCCCCCCAACCCGACATTCGGGTCTTCGGGTCGGGTTGGGGGTGGTCTCCAGTAGGTGGCCAGGGGATCTCCCCGGCTCTCGTGGCCCCTCCTCTTCTGCTTCCTGCAGGGCGTCCCCTGGCGCCCGCCGTGGGCAGCGCCCGTGCTCCAGGACATGCTCTGCGAGCCCACCTCCTTGGACGCCCCCCCCCCGTCCCAGACACCCCACGACGTGATTTCGTCCCTCTGATTTGTCGAGAGGTCCGTATCGACAACGCCGATGCCGATGCCAGCAGTTCGCACGCAGAAGCCCATGCCATCCAACACTGCTCGTCGACCCTCACAGGTCTCGACCCTTTCATTCCCGAGACCGGCTTTTGCATCTGGAGTGGGCGTTTGACGGCCCCGAGGCCTGGCGAGGGCCGCCAAGGACCGAGAACAGCGGAGCACCATCCCGCCGTGATTCTGTGATTCTTTCAGCGCCCGCGGGGGGCCTGGGCTTCTTAGACTTAAATCGGGCATGTCCCTATCTACAGGAGGAGTATTGAAAAATAGTCCAGAAATAGTCTGGCGACGATTCTTCTACTATTTTCGAGTCTTTGACTATTTGTGTTTTTTCTGCTGATTCTTTATTTCACATGTCGTCCAAAATTCGCCTGTAGGAGGACATGTCCGTCCTAATCCCAGACGCCCCCGACAGGCGCCGGCCTCCGAGCTCTCCCTCGCGGAGCGCTTCCGGTCGCTGCAGCAGGGCCTGCGCCTGGTGCAGCAGGCTGCCGCCGCGGCCGCGCAGAAGGCGGCGCGCCGCGGAGGAGCCGTCGTCGGCGCCGCCGACGACGCTGGCGTCGAGGAGCTTCGAGGGTCGAGGTTTCGAGGGTGGTGGTGGTGGTGGTGGTGGTGTTGGTGGTGGTGGTGGTGATGGTGATGGTGATGGTGATGGTGATGGTGATGGTGATGGTGATGGTGATGGTGATGGTGATGGTGATGGTGATGTGATGGTGATGTGATGTGATGGTGATGGTGATGGTGATGAAGGTGATGATGATTGTGATGATGGTGATCACGATGGCAATGACGATGGCGATGACGACGATGATGTGTAGAAGGATGAGGATGAGCATGAATATGGTGATGATGATGGTGATGATGATGATGACGACGAGGATGAGGATGAGGATGAGGATGATGATCAGCATCAGCATCAGCATCATCATAATCATCATTATCATCATCACCATCATCATCACCATCATCATCACCATCAACTTCTTCTTCTTATCCATTACGACCCACCAAGCCCGCCCAACCCTACTCGGAGGCTCCAATTTGCCGTCTATTCCCAGTGGGGGGGCGTCGGGGAGCACTGAACAATACATGGGATCCGTCCCGAAATTTGTGTCTTCGGGTTGGGTTGGGGTGGTCTGGTAGGTAGTCAATCCAGTTGCACTGCCGCGCGATCCCGCCACCGCGCCTGGGCGGGCGCTGGGGGGGGGCCTCGGGGCAGGAGGGGGGGGAGCGCGCCCTGCTACCTGGACCGTCGTTTTTGGTATCGTTTTCGCTGTCGAAGGCGAAGCCCGCAGGGACGCGGCGGGACAAATGACAAGATGTGGGGCCTGATGCGCCCAGAGACCGCAACGGTTGGTCTGCAAGCAGCGGAACATAACGAGAACAGGCCCGACCCTTTTGTCCGAGCGGTGTCGAGCTTGGCTCCAAGCGGTCTGCGAACGACGGAGCGCGGCGGGCAGAAGTCGGGCAAGCAGGAAGCAGCATCGCGGAAATCGCGCCTGGAGCCCCGGACCCCGCCTGCCTACGTCACTGTTCGACCCGGATCGATCCGTGAGGGCCCCGGGGCCCGAATCTGGGCGATCAAGCCCGTTGCGAAAAACTGCACCGCCGGGATCTCAGGGGCCGTCGCCGTCGTCGTCGTCGTCGTCGTCGTCGTCGTCATCGTCGTCGTCGTCGTCGTCGTCGTCGGTGTCGCGTCGCCCGGGCGTGGGGGAAGCGGCCCCCTCCCGCGAGCGCCGTGCGGCCGGAGGCACCGGCCCGGGCCTGCAGCGGCGCGAGCAGCGGCTCGGACTGGCAGGCCGCGGGAGACGGCGCGTCGGGGTCGCCGGGGAGGCCCCGTGGCGCCGCGCGGGGCGGGGCCCTCGCCTTGCTCAGCCCGCGCCGGGGGCCTCCTCCCCGAGGTCCTGGACGGCGACGACGAAGACGACGACGACGACGGCCCCCGAGATCCTGGCGCTTCACCTTTGCTCACCAGGGGCGTTGTTCTGCCCCGCTTCGGGCCGCAGGACCCTTGCAGATTGATGCAGGTCCCGACATGGTGCAGAGAGATTGGGTCGCTGGATCTCCAGTCGCGACTCTTCGCGATCGCGCAGCGTCAGATCTGAGGCTCGCGTCGTGGAACAACCACCACGTCATACCTTCGGGGCCATTCTCGGCCCCTTGGGGGCCCTCGCTGGACCCTGGGACCGTCAGAAAACGGCTCGGGGTGGACACCTCGGGGAAGCGTAAGACTCGAGCTCGCCAGAACACGGGTTAGCCGACGCTTCTGTGACAGACAGGCCCGTCTTGAATTTGACGGTGCAGTTGTCGTGGGGTGCTTGCAGCGGGAGCCAGGGTCAAGTTTCAGCTCGTGTCTCGCCACTTCTCCGACGGCCCCGCCAGGCCAACTCGAGTCCTCCACATTCGAGTCTCCCGTCTTCCCGAAGGCCTGCCCTGGGGAAAGGAGCGGGACTTCCAGGGGCCCCGTGTGGCACAACCAGGGCACCCAGGTTTGGGTCTGCAGCTTGTCAGTGTGCCTCGTTCTTCACCGCCCACCAAGCCACCCCAACCCAACCCGAAGGCACCGATTTGCCCTCCATTTCCAGTTGGGGGGTCGGGG